ACAATGCAGACCTCCCCAAGTCTCCTTTCTTCTCTACAGTGCATGCCAGGGACACGGCCCATCTTCCTCACCTCTTCATGGCCACACTCATCTTATTGTTCCATCTCCAAGCCTGGCTGGAAAGGAAGGTAAAGCCTCCCCACCTTCCTATTTCCTTGCTGCTCCAAGAAAACAAAATCTCCATTCCACATTGCCTCAGGAAAACAGAAGACACACACACACACACACACACACACGCACCCACACACACAATTTCAGTACCTTACAGGGCTCTGGTCTTAATGTTACTATTCTAACATCCAACTCCCTTCGCAGCTGGTAATTATAGGTCCCTTTTAGAGTCCCCACCCAACCACCCATTTTTAATATCCTAAGGGTGCTCACCTGAAATCTCCCTTATTCTGACGAAGATCTTTCCAAAGGTCATGCAGAGCCCTATTCCCAGGCCACTTTGCCATAAACAATCCAGCACTGGGTGGCAAAATTGATGGCTTCCGCGCAGTTGAAGCCAGAGTGGTAGCCATAGGGAAATGTCACCATGAACTTTCCAGCCTCCTGAGTGACCCGACTGAAGGGGATGCCGTTGTCCTTGAGGACCGTGGGCGAGATGAGAGCCACCTTGTGCCGCAGGAAGGCCTCACAGCCCCGCGAGCTGCCCGGGAAAAGCTCCCTGGCCAGGTGTTCCAGACGCCGGCCGTACTCCGGGGGCACCGCGTACCAAGTCTTGGGCTCCCCGAAGTGCAGGCAGTTGATGCTGTAAAGGTCCATGTCCTCTGTGTGCCAGGCGAAGGCGGTCTTCCACATGCCGAAGTACAGGTAGGGGGTGTTGACGCCTTCGATGACCACTCCGCACTCCTGTTCCAGCAGGTCCTGAAAGGTTCCCAGGTGTCCAAGGTTCCACTGCTTCGAGTTTTCATCGAATAAGGAGCCACTGACGTCTGCACCATATACTGGTGAATCATAGGGGCGTGTTTTCCAATATTTTCGCTCCAGATCCTCAAAATCAGAGTAGAATGGAGTCTGGTGTCATTCAGTCTTAAGCAGTGATACTCGCTCACGGTCATGGCTTTCTTCTTTTTGTGGTGCTGAGTAAACACACCTGCCTGCCCAGTGGTCACCTGCTGGAGGGGAGCGGCTATTAAGATGTCATCGATACCATCGTACGTCTGTCTGGCTTTCCATCCTTTCGGTGGAATTACCTTGGCTACGCCAGCTCGGTGTGCATTTTGCGACTCCATGTAAACAATATATTTGCTGAAATCTTCAAATTCTTCCATGGTTGGGTGGACGATCGTAATCTTACAACTTGGGTTCTGGCTCCCAAAGTGCTTAGACTGCATGGCGGCAACACAATAAGCAACGGACTGCCAGCTTCTTAGGTATGCTTTGGATACCTGAGAATGCTGGGGAGTAACCTCTTCCCTATACTTCCTTTATTTTTAAAGAAGTTTTGATATAGCTGAGAGGCAGGAACTCAGACTTGAACTTTTAAACAAACGAGGTGGTATCTTCTCCAGGCTTGTCAATCCACCAGAAGGACTCCACTCTTGTCAGCATTTTGGAGCCAAAGGAAATCCACTATTTCCCAGAGGAGATGGCTCTCTGCCTCAGCCTGCAGCTCTGTGAGTTTCCTCTGCTGGGGGTATAAGTGCCTGAGACCTCTCCAGATTCCCACGCTTGAGTGCATGGGTGGCTTCTCACCTCACTGTAGCAGAAAGTCTC